ACTATGTGAGGCACCACTGTAATTAATTCAATATATTTGGAATAAGATTTTAATTGTGATTTTATTTTTTTAAAGCTTAAAAGATTTAAAAATAAACATTTTAAATTATACTGAGGTGCAAAATTCTATCCTGTATTAAAAACAAAAAATAAATATACAAATCAGTCTTTCTGGCCACACCCTGAATGTAGATTCAGGCTACCTTGGGCTGCTAGCTCATCTGAAAAATGGCCCTCAGCTGCACCAAAGTTGCCTACATCTGTTCCAAAGGCTTCATTTTAGCCTCCAGATTGTTAAAAGGAATAGGCGGTAGTACTGGACTCCCAACAGTCTAATGAAACAGATCACTGCATCTGGGCAGCTTCCAACAGTCCTGTACTGAACATTTGAGCAATTGGATGCCCAGTTTTCTGTGGGAGGTGTGGAATTATTAGGATTTATGTTTTTGGCGCCCAGATCCTGTTGAGTCATTGGGATCACCCAGGTAAGCAAGAAAGCATATAGAAGACCTTCCAGCCATCATGTCGTGAGCATATAAATGCCTCAGACATTAGTTTTCTGTAAGGACTTGGCTCTCTATTATGTATTATCTGTGGTCACAAGGAGAAATCAACATCCAGAGTCCTAAAGTGCTTCATCAGATTAGGCACCAAACCAAATTCTATGCTGGAAACTATTCTGACTCCTGCAGTGAAAACAGGAATATTCTGAGTTTGAGGGAAAGCAACATTATCCTTAAAACATCATCATGCTGTCTCCAGGTACAGTTCCACTTGCCTTTACATATGATTTTGCTAATATAATGTCTGCTATTATCAGAACATAGTGCTCATCAATAAAGACCTGCAATGTCAGAAAGGCCCCGTTTGAAAGCTTTTGGCTTGATACAATAGGCTTCCACCTGTAATATCAAGATGTTGTCCAGAATTCTTAAATTCATTCCTAGTAACAAGTACTGTTGGCCAGTTATTAGAAGTCCACATATAATGTGCATTATTTGTAAAAATCAATAAAGAATATAAAAGCAGAAATAGTTTAAAGTAGTTCTAATTATTCCAAAAGCCTATGGAAAACAGATGATTACTTCCACCAGTTACTGAGAATAAAACAAGCTTGGGTTTAAATTAAAAATACAAAAGTTGTATTATTTACTCAGTTATTACACATATATATATTTCAACATACACACCATCTTTATATGTTTTCAAACAACAAATATACTTTGTAAAAAGCAATTATAACATAAACCAACCTTCTTCTTAAGGTCTAACCAAGCTTGATATTATCTACATTTCTGAAGTCAGTAATAACCTCCTCTGGGTGATGATCCATATGCAAACAGTACAATTGTGAGGGTTCGCTGTTAATGTCAGTGTCCTTTTCAAATAAACCCAGAGACAGTTTTTGAACAAATTCTGAGTCTTTGTTTATTAATTCAGACAACGGTAACATCTCTTTAACTGAAGCAGGTTGTAACTTCTCTTGCAAGACCAACGGGTTTTGCAAGGGTGTCCACATATTAGTTTCAAATGGGTTTAACAATTTAAACTCCCAAGGTCCAGCTGACATCCATTCTGTCTCTGGGACCTCACCTTCCACGTCATCAGTCATCAATAATGGAAGGGTTTCCTCATCTCCCTCATATCCCCACTTTGCGGTTCCCTCACCTTCACAGGTACCCCACGGTCCCGGAAGCCCCTCATCCTCCGCATCTCTTCGACTCTCCATGCTCGGCATTCCTCCGCCTCTCTCGCTACCGCTTCTCTTTCTTCCCTCAGACGGAATCTTCACTCCCGCACTTCTGATTCACCTCAGAAGGAGGGACGCTGGGGTAACCCACGGCGGCATCTGTAATCAGCCTCTTCCCGTGGCACTTTCACCTTCTCCCATTTTCCGTCCACGGGTCCTCCAACCAAATCAATTCCCATCCCCCCCGGGATGTTGTCCTGGCCCACATTTATATCCCCCGCTCCCACCTTCACCAAGGACCGCCCTCTCTCCTCTTTTCCAACCAAAACCTGTTAAGTTTGTGCTGACACATTTAACCCCCGCAGGTCTGCTTCTAACTCCCGAGTGTCTATACATTGGTGAGACATTCAATTTCTTTATATTCATTTCTAGCTCCCGAGTAAAGTTGAAGCCTGGGTCACCATCCTACCTCTCTCTACATATATATAGGTAGGATGGTGACCCAGGCTTCAACTTTTAGGCAACCTGTCTCAAATCTTACTCTGGCATTTGACAAACATATATGGACCTGTAAGATAGTTCTTAAGGATTTAGATTAGACTCTTTCCTGTTGTGCAAAGTGGGAGTTAGGTGGCCCCAGGAATGAACCATATAACACCTGGGCTAAAGTCTTGACTTTATAAAGTTTGAGAGCTGCTGGAACAAAGAACCCTCCTTGATAGCAATGGAATTTTGCTATGGTATTGGCAGATTTTTCTCCTTGATCTACCGCATACTTACTGTGTTGAAACCTAGAGCCAGAGGCCTGGAGAACTACCTCAAGATATTTGAAGCTTTTGACTTGCTCGATGTGGTGGCTATTAGTCCTCCAGGACCAAATCTTTTGTCTGAGCCCAAAGACAACTATCTTGATTTTCTGGTAGTTGATTGTTAAGGACTTGTCTTCACAGTATGAGGAGAGCTTCCCAAGGGCCCTCCTCAATCCAACAGGGGTTCTGGAGAGAATCACTGTATCATCAGCATATGGTACCATTCTGTTATTAAGTCTGGGAGGGTGGAGATCAGAGGTATTAAATCAGCTGGGGATACATATGCAAACAGGCATGTTATGGGTTTTTACTGTCAGTGTGGTGACAGCTCATGGTGGAGATGATCAAGATACATGTGGTCAGGCTGATCAGCGAAATTGGATTAGGAAAACCAAATACTAATTTATCTGCCAAGTTAACTTGCTCGTTATGCATTCTTCACCTCTCATCAAAAAACATACTTGCCAGCTTGACTTTTGAATTTGAAATCGATAGACCAGGCAACCTTCCAAAAGAAAGTGGTTTGAGGGTTAAATTCAATAACTGTCCCAATCAGAAGAGACCTACTGAAATCAATGGAACTGTAATGTTTCTAACAAATCCTATTCATTTCAATGGCTGTAACTAATAGTGAATTTAAGCCCAGATTCCATTTTTGTGGCAAAAGGAAAAATAATTAACATTTCCCATCTGAAGACCCATTTTTCATCCATTATTTTCACCATTTTAATAAGAGCATAAAAATACTTAAATCAAGTTAAGGAAATACAGATGTTTGTACTCCAGAATAATTTGTGCTATCAGTTGAGGTAGCAAATGTCTAAGTTAATAATCAAACCAGTGTACTGCACCTACAATGTAGACAACAGCAATGGAAAGAACAGATAGTATATTACAGAGAACATTACTTGTAAACTTGTTTATGCAAGTGTGTAAGCATAATGAAAATGTGCAAGGTACAAGATATCCAAGGAAGTCCCAATTTAATTTTTTATATTACTGATACTTTCAGTAGCTGTTACCGAGCACCATTTTTCAAAAAGAAACAAAATGCTACCTACCATGGGATCTTAAAGCACTCTTGTGATTTTAAAGTACTGTACACACACAAAATATTCAATTGAGAAAGCGAAGATCATTCTTCCATAACTATACCGCTAACCTGTGTAATGGCATTATTGTTATTTTGAATCGTTACAAAGTCATGTAAGAAAAACATTCAGATTCTTGCTCTCAGATGTAAGCAAAATATATCCAAAAGTTCAAATACTGGGTTAACTATAAGGAAATCAAGTATGCCTAGAGATCAATCCATTGATTAAAGATCGTTTTGGGAAAACAGTTTATTTAAATTTGAACTATTATTCTATTCCTTTAATATATTTACAACATTGCTATCAAACAGTGAAAGGTATGAGGAACTGATCATACTTACTGACAGAACACTGATGTATGTATAAGAATGAATGATGAGTGCTGTGAAAGTACCTTCAAAAATATTTGCCAAGAAAACCAGAAATAGCATACAACATAGTATTGAAGCATCTAACTGCACCCTCTAGTGCTCAAATAGCTAAACACGAAATTTTAATTAAAATGTGCAGATATCTATGGATAAGCAATACATTCGCCCTATTCAGGCACACAGAAAAGAATCTCAATGGTGAGAAGAGGGAGAGTGCCAGCCCTACTCCTCTCTTCTTCACATGGAGATGAGAGTTTGAAGATGAAAGCCTCTGCTATACATGCAGGTGCTCCACACAACTGAAGACACTAAAACAAAACAAATCAAAACAAAACAAGGTTACTAATCACATTGAGAGCTTCCACATGTACCAGAGACTTTTCTCTTATTCTCCATAAGAATGCAGGGGAGTTGGGCTCCGTCACTCCTCACACATTCAGACTAACCCTTTTTTGGACAAAACCTAACTCTTTTTTGAACAAAACCTCCATATTTTCCACATAACCCATTGCACAGTGTCCACATTATTTTAAACTTTCTTGCAAGTGCTATTATGTTTGTCAAACAATGAATTACACATCATCCAGCTTGTAACTTCTCAGTATTTTGCAGATAATTGATCTTCCTTTTTCATCAACATCTTCAAATACCAATGTTAACGTATTCTCCCACAAAAATATGATTAATCCAAGCAAGTTCAGGCTAACATATATTTTAAAACCCTATGCATAAAATAAGGCTTCTGTTCCACCTGCTCTGAAGGGAGAATCTAGCAAAGGATTCTGAATTGTTTTTTAGCACAATAACAAGACTACACCAAAAAAGAAATGTAAAAGTGCTGCTGTGCTTAGTATTAGAGATCATAATTATTGTTTCACAGTAAAAAGGAAGAAATGTAATACTGATACAAAGACTTCAGAAAATTAACAGGTTCACATAAGATCATCCTCTAAATATGTACTGTATTCTCTTTTATGTAAGGAAGTTACTGTTGTCTATACCTTCAGAGCTTTGCTTAGAAAAACAATGTTACTCACCTTTGACTTTACATAGAATGGAGATGACTGCTGATGCATTGCTAAGTCCATGGTACTGTTTGAATTTGTGACACTATTACTATTAGCTTGTTCATCATCTCTACTGCTTTCATCAGACTGATCAAAATCATCACTGTCCTGGTCCATTTCTTCCTCTTCCTCCATCTCTTCCTCCTCCTCTTGTTCACCAGCATATTCATCTTCTTCCTCCTCTTCTTGGTTGCCAGAGTATTCTTCATCCACTGCAATAAATCTGTTATTGTTTTCTTCTAATTGTTCTTGCTGAGATTCATTTCTGGGACGAAGTCCAGGATCCCCACCACCTATTTCTCCATTCCTTGCAACATGTACCTCCTCTTGTTGCCTTAATTGCTGCTGCTGCTCCTCCTCTACGACTCGATTCATCTGCTCTTCATCCAGTTGGCTTGAGGAAGCATTACCTCGAAAAGACCCACCAGTTCGTCGTCTCTTACTGCCAACAGACAGCAGTTCCTGATTCATTTCCAAAAGCCAGCTTGCTACTTCTTGGACTTTGGCTAAACTATCTGAAGATGCAAATACTTTCACATTCTGAGAAAAAAAGAAGAAGAGAAGTATAAGTTTCCTTATTATACAAGCCTATACTCCAAGTGTCTTTCTGACTCAGAAAATTTCAATACCCTATACAGTACCTTTATTTTAAAGTTGGAGGTGAAATATGACAATTTCAATATCAATTTACCTCCTCCTCTATCCATTTTAATATATAATTACTTTTATAAATATAAATCAAATCTGGAGTGCTAAAGTAGAATGCAGAATATGAATACTGAACACCAAGTGTCCCAATTGATATAATAAAGATTTTGCAACCAATAAAATTTAAACTGGGCACTGCTAGCGACCTCTAACTGTCTCAATCATGATGACAGTAAAACAGAAAATTAAAGTGCTTATGTTTGTATATTCACAGTGGGTTACAGAAACTGCATACCACTGATGTATCAGCAAATTCTCTTGGCAATACACCTTGGAGCAATATGCACAAAAGCTTCACTTATGATGGCCTAAAATCTTGGAAAAATTCTTCAACATTTAATAAAAGTTCATTGGTTTTGCTTCACACAATTGAAATGCAAAATGACTTTAAAAAATTTCAGTTACATGCCAGACTTGTTTATAACAGTGGTTCCCACCCTTGGGCCTCCAGATGTTCTTGGACTACTACTCCCAGAAGCCTTTACCACCACCTCTGCTGGCCAGGATTTCTGGGAGTTGAAGTCCAAGAACATCTGGAGGCCCACGGTTGGAGACCACAGGTTTATAAGACTTGAAACTATTTAAACAGTACATGCTATCACTCTAATTGAACAGACAAATTTGCTTGCAGACACGGGGTCTTGCTCTCACTTTGTTGTAGTACTACAACAAAAAGCTGGTGTAGATGAAGTGTCCATGCCACACAGGATCTGAGAACTTTGTTTTCTTGAGTATATAGTTAGTTACTTATGTGCCATCAAGTCTGAACTGACACCTGGCAGCCCTAACAGGGCTTTGAAGGTAAGTGAGATATTTAAGGAGCAGTTTCCGCCTTTCTACTCCTCCAGGGAATTTCCATGGCCCACTGGGGATTTGAACCCTGGTCTCCACAGTCCTAGTCCATCACTCTATCCACTACAACGGCCGTTCAACCTTTTTTTGGCCACAGCCCTTTTAGGAGTTCTTCTCAGGTTCCAGGGCTCCCTTTCAAACAAGGATACAACACGAACAGATTATCTTTCAGAAACACTTCACATTAGACTGTGGCCCCCTTCAGGTGTACCATGGCCACCAGGGAGCCATATAGCCTCCATTGAGAATGGCTTCATTACACCACATTGAGTATCCCGAGTATATAAATTTAAAATATGAGCAGGAGTATCAGCTTCAAAAATTGAACCTTTGCTGAGTATATGACCAGGGACACAGCACTGAACTACACAAAGGCACATTTTTCATTTTCCAAGCCACCTGATTAGTGACCACATCTCCTTTCACATTACTGATTCCAGGACAGGAGGTATATAGATGTATGATAAGAAATGCAACTGTAATTAACAGAGCAAGGGGGTCCCTAATGGCCTTTGTGCATATAGTTCCCCCAATCAGAAATACCCTTCAGTTGTAACTGAAGTGTTATAGCTGAGCTTTAATCCAAAAAGTAAGGAAATTCAAATCACGGATCCTCTTCCCCGTTATTCAAAATACAAGCACAGAGATGCACCCCTCTTGTACCTTAGCTTCCACTCAAATAAACACAATATGGGAGCTCCACTTTTTGACCCCTTAATGAGAAAAAGAATCTCTACCTAGGACTATTAAACATAATGACACAAATCCTCTTGTGTAACTCAGGCCAGCATATGGCATGAAATGTTATCTCTACAATGGCAGATCACTGCTGATTAGATTCCCCATGTGATTCCTTACTATATGCAAGTCAGGTGGCTTCATGCACAACTCAGGATCCAAGTGAAGATTGAAGAGCCACTTGACAAACTGGCTGATTTTACTGGACTAGTAAAGATTACACAGTTGTGAACAGGTATGTGTTGGAAATCTGCTGTTTGTTTATGCTGACACTATCAAAGTCTGTGTTTCATGGTAAATTTTCCACACCAATAGTAACCATAAGGAACAGGGAGACTAATGGGATTACTTGGAATAAATTTTAAGGTATGATATGGATGCATAAATATTTCCACAGGAACAGATTACGTGGAGCCCAATTTCTAGAGGATGCTCATCCAGGTGTACAGTATCAATGATAACTTTTTGCTTTAAACCAGTGGTTTCAAGTTTGATACTACAATATTTTCATGAATAAGTTTTATTCACTAGAGCATGGTGCTAGAGTTTTCAGAAGATACCAAGAATGAGAGGTAAAATTCAGTAGCAGTAAATAATAAAAATAATAAAAAGTTTGCCAAAAAACAAAAACAAAAGCACAGTCACTACCATAAGTTTCCATGAAGAAACCTCTTATCACCTATAACAGCTTGACAGCTAGAGCCACTTTCCAGAAGTATGTTATTTTAATTCTGTTTGCATCTTCCTGGGTTTAAACACCTAGCCAAGTTTTTAGATTTCCACATTTCTTCCCCTCCATTGTTTACTATTTAGTTTGATAGAGAGAAATGGAGGCTTGTCTATCTTATGAGTTTATGCTAATAGTGTTATTGCCTACCCATGAATTCTGGATATTATTCTTATGAGTTAACAATACTTCTTTCCTTTCTTAGTGATTTACACTCTCCCTTTTACTTTTTTAAAGATGTACTAGCAGAAAGGAATTTTTAAAGGAAGTAATAGCATAAATGACCTTGGACTGCTAGAAAGATGAACAAGTGGGTCCTAGATTCAATCAAGCCTGAACTATCTCTGGAGTAAAAAATGTTGAAACTGGAGCTGTCCTCCTTTGGGCACCTGATGAGAAAGCAGGATTCTCTGAAAAATACAATCATACTGGGAAGGACTGAAGGCAGCAGGAAAAGAAGAAGACCAAATCCCAGATGGATTGATTCTCTAAAGCAGGCTTGTCCAACCCGCAGCCCGAGGGCCGCATGCGGCCCAAGTCAACTCATAATGTGGCCCAGTGCAATTTTTAATTTTAAAAGAAATTCCAAAGTTTCAAGTTACAGTGCCGGCGCTTGCAGCCGGAATGTGGCCGGGGTATATCACAACAGTAGCGGGGGAGAGAGGGAAGGAAGGAGCAGGAGGGGAGGGGACAGGGGCTGCGTGTCTCCATTGCGCTGTCCCCGTCAATAGGTGGACCCCCTCCCGGCCTCATAAAGCCGCCGGAGTCGAAGCTGGCAGCCTCTGCTGTCTGAGATCGCAGCTGCAGGTAAGCGCACTTGGAGCAGGGCTGCGGAGGACGGCTAGGGCTCCCCCCCATGTGGCCCAAACCAAATGTATGTGCGGCCCAAACCAAATTTTCATCTTCTAATGTGGCCCAGGGAAGGTGAAAGGTTGGACACCCCTGCTCTAAAGAAATCCACAGGCTTGAATTTACAAGAGCTGAGCAGGGATGTTGAGGACAGAACATTTTGGAGATAACTCTCTCATTGGGTTGCCATAAGACATGGACAACTTGATGGCACACAAAAACAACAATAGCAGAGAAGTTCCCATCAGTGGGACCTGAGCTGGCATACTGTTGTGCCAGACAAGCTAAAAGCTAAAAGCTCCCAGTTCAAATTTCATCTCAGTCACAAACTTGCTAGAGGAATTCCCCTTTTCAACACTACATCTACAATATGGAGATACAGTGGTGCCCCGCATAACGAGCGATTCGTTTAACAACGAACCCGCATAGCAATGTGTTTTTTGCGATCGCAAAAGCGATCGCATTGCGATGTTTCTAATGGCGATGTTTCTAATGGTAAAACATCGCATAGCGATGTTTTTTTAACAGCTGATCGGTGGTTCCAAAATGGCCACTGGGTAAAGAAAATGGCCGCCCGCTGTGTTTTCGCACCCTTTCCTCGCTTACCGGGCAGCGAAAATGGCGGCCGCATGGAGGATTTCCGCATAACTGTGAGTTTTTTGCCCATAGGAATGCATTAAATGTGTTTTAATGCGTTCCTATGGGCTTTTTTGCCCCGCATAGCGACGAATCCACATAGTGATGATTTTTTCGGAACGGATTATCGTCACTATGCGGGGCACCACTGTATTACTACTCAATACATAGCTAATAATATTTCTATATACTGTACTGATTATGCTACTACATGACCTAAGTGAATTGTTACTTGTTAGTACAGAAGTAACATGTTATATCAGAAGTGCTTTCTTTTAAGGGCTAACAACAACAGCAACAATGTGCTGTCAAATCGATTCTGACATACAGTGACCCATTCCAAGGTGTTCGAGCTATAGAGCATTTAGAAATGGTTTACTAGCCCCTTCTTCTTGCAGTGATTTGGAACTAAACACTTCAGAATACGCTACACAGGTTGACTCATCTCCAAGGACAAATAGTAGGAAATGGAACTACAAACCTGTATTCATTGTTACTATAATATTGTTAGGCATTATCTCCCCACTGATACAAAAGCACTTTTGGTCATAGAAATGTTGCAAACTCCATTATTGTTATTGAAACAGTGAGCTCAGGAATGATACCTATACTCTGACCACAACCAATCACACTTGTAAAAATGTACTATTAAAAATAGTTGTGCTGGAAATTGAAAATGAGGAAACAGTTTGGTCAATAACAATCCACTAGAGGGCAGTCCCTTCTACAAGTCATGAGAAAAAGTAAGCAAAACTTCAGAACACAGCCAAAGAGCCGGAAAAACCCACAACAACCATAAGCAAAAGGAGTTTAGCAGCAGTAGAAGTTTTTCTAATAAGACAATATCCAGCAGTGGGGAGGGTGGGACATAGTCCCTGAATTTATTTCTCTGTGTTAGAACAGGTTTAAATTATGAAGGAATTAGCATACAAAACGTCTTCAATTTCTGGGAAAACCCTACATAAATGAAGATTATCCAATTATTTCACTGCATCTTCTCATCTATAAATTAATGACCACTGCAGAACAG